TCCTACTCCCTCCGGGAGTAGGATTCCCCCCCTTTCCTAGTTGGAATAGGATTCGGGAGGGGGGAAAGAGGAGAGAGAGGAGGAAGGGGGGCGCCGGCCCCCTCTCCTTGTCCTATTCGGACTAGGGGGGGAGGGGTGCGCGGCCCAGCCCTGGCCACCTCTCCTATCTTCAACTAAGGCCCACTAAGGCCCATATACCTCCCGGGGGGTTCCGGTAACCTCCCTGTACTCCGGTAAAATCCCGATTTCACCCGGAACACTTCAGATATCCAAATATAGGCTTCCAATATATCAATCTTTATGTCTCAACCATTTCGAGACTCCTCGTCATGTCCGTGATCACATCCGGGACTCCGAACAAACTTCGGTACATAAAAATGCATAAACTCATAATATAACTGTCATCAAAACCTTAAGCGTGCGGACCCTACGGGTTCGAGAACAATGTAGACATGACCGAGACATGTCTCCGGTCAATAACCAATAGCGGAACCTGGATGCTCATATTGGCTCCTACATATTCTACGAAGATCTTTTATCGGTCAGACCGCATAACAACATACGTTGTTCCCTTTGTCATCGGTATGTTACTTGCCTGAGATTCGATCGTCGGTATCTCAATACCTAGTTCAATCTCGTTACCGGCAAGTCTCTTTACTCGTTCCGTAATGCATCATCTCACAACTAACTCATTAGTTGCAATGCTTGCAAGGCTTATGTGATGTGCATTACCGAGAGGGCCCAGAGATACCTCTCCGACAATCGGAGTGACAAATCCTAATCTCGAAATACACCAACCCTACATGTACCTTTGGAGACACCTGTAGAGCACCTTTATAATCACCCAGTTACGTTGTGACGTTTGGTAGCACACAAAGTGTTCCTTCGGCAAACGGGAGTTGCATAATCTCATAGTCATAGGAACATGTATAAGTCATGAAGAAAGCAATAGCAACATACTGAACGATCGGGTGCTAAGCTAATGGAATGGGTCATGTCAATCAGATCATTCACCTAATGATGTGATCCCGTTAATTAAATAACAACGCTTTGTCCATGGTTAGGAAACATAACCATCTTTGATTAACAAGCTAGTCTAGTAGAGGCATACTAGTGACACTCTGTTTGTCTATGTATTCACACGTGTATTATGTTTCCGGTTAATACAATTCTAGCATGAATAATAAACATTTATCATGATATAAGGAAATAAATAATAACTTTATTATTGCCTCTAGGGCATATTTCCTTCAGGCAGTTCCTTACCTCCCCTCGTAGTTGAGGGAAAAATCTTAGTTCTTTCGTCTTTCAAGTTCCTCATAGTGACCAGCAGATATAAATCCCAAGTGACTAAAGAATAGAGCTATGCTCCCCGGCAACGGCGCCAGAAAATGGTCTTGATAACCCACAAGTATAAGGGATCGCAACAGTTTTCGACGGTAGAGTATTCAACCCAAATTTATTGATTCGACACAAGGGGAGCCAAAGAATATTCTGAAGTATTAGCAGTTGAGTTGTCAATTCAACCACACCTGGAAACTTAATATCTGCAGCAAAGTATTTAGTAGCAAGGTAATATGATAGTAGTGGTAACAGTAGCAAAAGTAATATTTTTGGTTTTATAGTGATTGTAACAGTAGCAGCGGAAAAGTAAATAAGCGAAGAACAATATATGAAAAGCTCGTAGGCAATGTATCGGTGATGGAGAATTATGTCGGATGCGATTATTCATGCACCAGTTATAACATAGGGTGACACAGAACTAGCTCCAATTCATCAATGTAATGTAGGCATGTATTCCGAATATAGTCATACGTGCTTATGGAAAAGAACTTGCATGCCATCTTTTGTCCTACCCTCCCGTGGCAGCGGGGTCCTATTGGAAACTAAGGGATATTAAGGCCTCCTTTTAATAGAGTACCGGACCAAAGCATTAACACATAGTGAATACATGAACTCCTCAAACTACGGTCATCACCGGGACTGGTCCCGATTATTGTCACTTTGGGGTTGCTGGATCATAACACATAGTAGGTGACTATAGACTTGTAAGATAGGATCAAGAACTCGCATATATTCATGAAAACATAATAGGTTCAGATCTGAAATCATGGCACTCGGGCCCTAGTGACAAGCATTAAGCATAGCAAAGTCATAGCAACATCAATCTCAGAACATAATGGATACTAGGGATCAAAACCTAACAAAACTAACTCGATTACATGATAAATCTCATCCAACCCATCACCGTCCAGCAAGCCTACGATGAAATTACTCACGCACGGCGGTGAGCATCATGAAATTGGTGATGGAGGAAGGTTGATGATGACGATGGCGACAGATTCCCCTCTCCGGAGCCGCGAACGGACTCCAGATCAGCCCTCCCGAGAGAGTTTAGGGCTTGGCGGCGGCTCCATATCGTAAAACATGATGAATCCTTCTCCCTGATTTTTTTATCCCCGAACACGAATATATGGAGTTGGAGTTGAGGTCGGTGGAGCGTCAGGGGGCCCACGAGGCAGGGTGCGCGCCCAGGGGGGTAGGCGCGCCCCCACCCTCGTGTATAGGGTATGGGTCCCTTGACGTGGATTCTTCTTCCAGTATTTTTTATATATTCCAAAAATAATCTCCATTGATTTTAAGGTCATTCCGAGAACTTTTATTTCTGCACAAAAATAACACCATGGCAATTCTGCTGAAAACAGCGTCAGTCCAGGTTAGTTCCATTCAAATCATGCAAGTTAGAGTCCAAAACAAGGGCAAAAGTGTTTGGAAAAGTAGATACGACGAAGATGTATCAGTAAGCGATGGTGGTTGCGGAAAGCGGTGGTGATTTGCGAAAGACGCAAAGCGGGTTTGTTCGAGTGGTGGTGCGGAAGATGTAGTGGGTGGCTGATAATTTTCGGAGCAAAAATTTCAGTTTCGTCAGGAAACGTCGGACGACCATAGGTGATCGGACGGAAGGGGGTTGAACGTCTAGGGGTCGGACGATCGGAGGTGGCCGGACGTCTGGAGCCTGTGCGATTTCGGGCTGCGGGATGAACTCTAGGGTTTGTGGTGAGGAAGAAGAATTGGGACAAAATTGGACGAATTTTGTGGATGGAAATGGTTGGAAGGATGTGGAAAAACTAGATCTACCTGCAACACATCAGATCCATGGGTCAAATCCAACAAAACTTCATCACACCAACAAATCACAAAAAAATTGTGGCTATTTTCGAAATTGAGACAAAATCAAGCAAAACAAGGTTAGAAAGTGGTGGTAGGGACTCCAAAAACATGACCAACCTTGGCTCATGATACCAAGATGATGTAGGGTGGAACCCTAGGGGCCGACCTTTCACGATTTGGACGGGGATTCCCGAAGAACATGATGAACACACGAGGGAAAACACGAGGGGAAACGAGAGGAAACACTCAAATCAACGAGAAACGATCACACAAAGAGAGATACATGATTCAAATGCAACAAAGGGGGATACAAGGGTAATCAGTTCATCTCCTAGAAGGAGGTCTTGAATACACTAGGGGATCTTCCCTCAAGAGGGGGTCTTGAATCCACTTGGGGGATCTTCTTTTTTTAGAACGAAAGCTCAAGGAGAGCCCGACTTTGAATTAACAAAGCCATTAACCGGCCAGGATTACAACCACATCATTAAAAACTCGAACAAACAAAAAAACAGAAACACGACAAGATACAAGGGTGCTGGTAGGCAGCTCTCAAAACCTCACACACTATAGCTAGTAAGATAGCACATGATAAGCACAAGCTGAAGCACGCAGAGGCCCTCGTCCACACAAGGATCACCAGGGAAGAAGAAATGGGGCTCTGGGAAGCGCTCGCTGTCGAGGATAGGATATGTCGGCACTAAACAACCAAGGCCCTGGAACAACATCACCATCCATTCCCACTGTCGAAGGAGGCCCCTGCCACCTCGGCTGGCTTGAAAGGCGCCGAACCATCGACATATGGGGTTGCTCACCCTAGAACATGGATGGAAGGATGCAACCAGAAGGCAACGAAGGAGTAGGAACAGAGCACACCCTACATGACTAATAAACTTCACCAGAAACACCGCATCACCGCTGCCCACTGACGATCCCCTGGAGATGAGAAAGATGTCGGTCAGACAACAACAGGGTGTCCAGGGAGGAAGGAGCAACGAGGAGGCAGGACCAAGGGCGAGGAATGACGCCCCGACTCTCACAACTCACACTACTGTAGCCACCGGAGGAGGGGAACCCGAACCCCTCCTGGCCAGAAGCCGCCGGACCAAACTGACACCAGTTGCACAGAGAGCACCAGAAGAAAACCAAACACCGTCGGGCCTGCAAAGCTCCCACCACCGCCACTGGGGACACGCTGTCACCGCCGCCCGACAACCACCACACCGCAGTGCCTACAATCCAAAAAGCATCCAAGGCGACGACTTTAAGAAGCAAATGGCGCCAAGAGCACCGTCGCCGCCCAACAAAGTTTGAGTTTTCACCCGGGAGGCTAGGGGAAGGGGAGGGTGGAGCAAAAGACTTGAATGGTGCCTCCAAGAAGGGGAGCGGCGTCCATGGACGTCACCGCCATGGATTTCTCCTGGTCAAGGCTCCACACCACCAACACCGCATCCAGCTCCAGGCACTGGAGAACCATGTCGACCCGGTCCAGATCTGAAGGGGTGGAGCACGCAAGGCAGCAGAAGGGGGAAGGGGCGGCCAGATCTGGAGCCGCAAGAGGCCAAAAGCCCCAACTCCAACGCCGCGGATCTCGTCCGCCGGAGAGCTTGCTGCCCGCGCAGCCAAGCCCACCGGACCACACCTGCGCCACCAACAGCCGAGGAGACGGTGGCGCCTCACTGAACGAGGCCGCTGCCCCAGATTCCGCCACCCCCCACTAGCGAAACGGAGTTGTAGAGACCTCGTCGCCACCTTCTTGGCGATGCCCCGGGCATGCCCAGCGGATGCCTCTGGCGGCGACGAGGAGGGAGGAGAGAAAGGGGGAGGCGACGATGGCTAGGGTTGTCACCCTCGAGCCGCCCGAGAGGGGCGATGTGAGGGAAGGGAGGGAGGGCCTGAACCCCTCTGCACTGAATGGTGGTCTTCCCTTGGGGGATCTTCTCCTAGGAGGTCTTGGTCTCCAATGGAGTAGGGGTACAAGTGGATGAACAATGCTCTATCTGCAAAATGAGCTAAATCAATGCTAACCCTAGAAAGAGGGAGGAGGTGGAGTATATATAGTCTAGGGGTGAATAGGTACATGGGCCTCGGCTCAACACATTGTGCACAGACATGCGTTGGTCGTCCGGACGTTACCGGACGTCCATTGGCCTGCAGGGGCCCGGTCGTCCAGTAGGGGTCGGACGTCCGACATTTTGGCTCTCGATGCGCGATGTCGGATTTTTGGTCGGGGTCGGACGTCTGTTATGCCGGTCGTCCGGTGGATCTTGGACTTCCGTCGTTTCTATTCTGGACTGGTGGTACCGAATTTCCGGAGATGATCGGAAGTCCGGCCGCTGGAGATGGTCGGACGTTCGTTACTTGTCAGTCGTCCGGCCGCTGTAGCTTCCATCGGTTGGCCCTTCTGGCTGGCTGAGTATCCAGGCGTCGCACGTCCGGCGTTGTCCGATCGTCCGGTGGCTGAAGCTTCCTAGCAGCTCTTCCTCTTGGTCTTCACGCTCGGTGTCCTCGCCATCTTGTCCATTGGGTGCGGTTGCTCCGTGGCTTCCCTCCAAGTACCTGATCACACATAGGGTCTCCGCTTGAGGTAGTAGTCATGTCTCACATGTGGAATGTGTTAGTTCGGAGAGGAGCGAGTTCACCTTTGTTTTGATAGCCCTTTGATCGAGCTCTAGTGATTAGTCCATGTGGTGTCGTGGGAGACGAAGGTAGGTCCATGGGGATGACCGTAGGATGCTCCGCATCACTTGGCCCCATCACCCGCCACCCCAAAGCGGCTCGAGTAGCCGGGCGATGTCCCCATCGCCCCAACGCTAGTTGATCCAGCTCATGTGACGCATCCTCCTCCGCAGTGATCGCATAGTCGTCCTCCGAGGAAGAGGTGCTCCACGACATTCTGCATTTGTCTTGACCATGTAGGAATCTGCTGCCCGTTGCGCCATCGGAAGAACGTGAAGGCACTCCGGGAGGGTCTTAGCCCTCCCCACCAACGAACAAGACCGCCGCTTGAGCTCTCGCAGGACTGTATGAGGAGGGAGACGAGGACTCCAACAACCCCCACATTGCCCTCAACATTCACTTGCACTTTGGGAAACGCCAGTAGATTTGTTATCCTCTATCCTGCTATGTCCTATGTGTGTATGACCTCTATGTCGTATGTCATTTGTTGAATGAACTCTATGTCCTATGAATTAGTATGTTTTTCCTTGTCAAGATGGCCTATGCCATAGGAGGTGAGGAGCTACGAGGCTCAACCCTGTGCTGTCCGCAGACATATGGGGGAGCTTTTTTAGCACTTGCCCCTGGAGACACTCTAAGTGAAATGATAGCTTGTGTGGGTTATTTCATAAAGGTCAAGTGATGTGTGCACTTAGCAAAAGAGTAAGGACATTTTCAAATCAATTTTAATGTGAATTTTGCTAAAGGTCTTCAAGGATATTAATGAATCCGATGGTGATAGTGCACCTCCCCGTCTTCCACGCACAAATCCCTATAAAGACCGCCCATTGAACAAACCAGTTGTGCTGAAAAAAATTTCCTCCTACCTAATAATTCTTTCAAAGTCTAAGCATCCTTTCAATAATTTTGTTAGTAAGTATATTACGCGAGGAAGCGTAAACACCAAAATTCAAATCCTCAATATATACATTTATATATTGCGAAAGAAAAACATGCGAACATAAAGTTTGCTAGTTGTGAACTATAGTTTGTATGTAAACAGCGAATGAAGCTGCTCATCGTTGTGCCAAACAAGCTAAAAATATAGGGTTTACTAGCTGTGAACTATAGTTTGTATGTAGAAAAGCTAATGAAACTGCTCATCAATATGTCAAAGAAGGCACATACAATACAAAGAGATCTACTATGGACAAACTATACCCTCTCTCCTCTCCGACCGCTTGCAAATTCACTGTAACCCCTCGCTTTGAAGTAATGTGAGCTTTTGATTGGTAAAATAAAAATAAAAATGAGAGGGTCAAATATAGCCACAGTGCACATTTTTCTCCAGAACATATGCAGAAAATATAGTGTCAAAAAATGTCTTATATTATAGGACGAAGAGAGTATTTTCGTGTGAAATTCGCAGGTTCAGACATCAGCCCACATGAAATTTTAGTTCGATTTTTTAGCCGGTGCATAAAGCACCCGTACTCAAAAGGGAATTTCCCTAATGCCATCTCATTTTCGGAAGAGCCCATATGAATCAAATTATTACGGCCGTAGCCTCCTAAACTCGTATGCACAAGAGAGGGCCACGCTGCCATCTTTCAGACCGCATCGAACTCCTCCTTTCCGCCGCCGCCGCCGCCGCCGCAGCCATTCATGGCGAGGCGCCGCCGGGGAGGATTCGAACATTAATCCATGCTATTCCCCACCCGTCCCTGTAAATCCCAAGCTCCTGCCGCCGTAGCTGCTATCTGCAGCCTCCGCCCCTCCTCCTCATCGCCGGCGCTTATTCCTTCCCCGTATCACGACGACAACCCATTCGCCTCACTACTCACTTCCGATCCCCCTCCGCCGGATCCGCTCCGCCAGGTTCTCGCCACGGGAGACGTCCACGGCGCGCTCCGCGGCCTCCCTGGCCTCGCTCGCCAGCTGTTCCGGTGGGCGGAGGGCACCCCTCACGGTTTCCCCCGCTCCGCCTCCGCATTCGCCGCCGTCCTTGTCCCGCTCGCTGAGGCCAGGCGCAACCGCTCCGCTTATCCCGTCTCCCTCCGCGCTATCCAGGCTGGCCTTCTCCTTCCCCTCATCTCTCTCCTCCTCACGTATCCCCTGTCCCCCTCCTCCCACCACCTCCTCAACTTCCTCTTACGCATGTCCACCAAGTTTGTGCCCGAATGCCAAGCTCAGGACCCTGCGCCCACCAGCTGTTCGACACAATGCCTTTCCGCCTTCCAAGAGATGGCGCGTCAAGGTGTCGCCCCTTACGTCAAGGTGTGCAACTGCGTGCTCTCTGTGCTGTGCGACGCGGCCAGGTGGGACGACATGCGTGCTGTGTATTCAGATATGCTTCAGCTTGGGGTTGAGCCATCCATTGTCACATACAATACATTGCTGGATTCTTTTTGTAAGGCAGGGAGGATCGATCAGGCTGTCATGCTGCTCAAGGATATGGAGGCCCAAGTTGCTGGCTGCTTGCCGAATGATGTCACCTATAATGTGGTGATCAGTGGGCTGGCCAGGAATGGTGAGCTGGACAAGGCGGCTCAACTGGTTGACAGAATGCGGTTGTCCAAACAAGCGTCAGCCTTCACATATAATCCACTTATCAGTGGGTTGTTAGCAAGGGGTTTTGTTGAAAAGGCTGATGCTTTGCAGCAGGAGATGCAGAATGATGGCATTGTGCCAACGGTGGTGACATACAATACATTGATTCATGGGTTATTTAAAAGAGGGAACGTGGAGGCGGCAGAGTTGAAATTTCTGGAAATGAGGGCAATGGGGTTGCAGCCAGATTTGATTACTTACAATTCCTTGATAAATGGACATTGTAAGGCATGTAATTTGAAGCAGGCACTTTGGTTGCTTGGTGATTTGAGACGTGCAGGGCTAGCACCGACAGTTATGACATATAACATCCTTATAGATGGCTATTGTAGATTAGGTAATTTAGGGGGGGCTATGAGATTCAAGGAGGAGATGAGAGCAGAGTGCTGCCTGCCCGATGTTTGTACATATACTATTCTTATGAATGGGTCATGTAAGGTCAAGAACATTGCTATGGTAAGGGTGTTCTTTGATGAAATGCTGAGTAAGGGTTTAAAGCCAGACTGCTTTGCTTACAACACAAGGATTTCAGCAGAGCTGACTCTAGGTGCTATTTCCGATGCTTTTCAGTTGAGGGAGGAGATGATGCCGAGTGGAATTTCTTCCGATACAGTTACATATAATATTCTTATTGATGGACTGTGCAAGGCTGGTAGCCTGAAAGATGCCTATGTGTTGTGGATGAAGATGGTCAGTGATGGGTTACAACTTGACTGTGTCACATACACTTGCTTGATTCATGCACATTGTAAGTGGGGGCTTCTAAGGAAAGCAAATAATATTTTTCGTGGCATGGTTGCAAGTGGTTTGTCACCCTCGGCTGTGACCTATACCATTTTTATTCACACATACTGTAGGGTGGGAGATCTTGATTCAGCATATGGCTGGTTCCGGAAGATGCTGGAAGAAGGAGTGGAACCTAATGAAGTAACATATAATGTGCTCATGAATGCACTATGCCGGATAGGGAGAACTGAATTGGCTTATCAATATTTTCATGAGATGCTGGAGAGAGGATTGGTGCCAAACAAATACACATACACTTTGTTGATAGACGGGAACTGTAAAGAAGGTAACTGGGTGGAGGCTGTAAGGCTGTACTGTGAAATGCATCAGAAAGGTATTCATCCAGACCATTGTACACATAATGCCTTGTTTAAGGGATTTGGTGAAGATCACATGCACGACACAATTCAGTACTTGGAGAATGTTGTTTTGGGTGCATAGGACGGTCTTCAAGAAAGGTTCGTCTTGGCCTTGCTTGGTGGAAAACTCTGTGAGAATTATCCCTATATGCATATTCTCTTTATCAGTAGTTTTTTTAACGATGGTAATTTCTTCCAGCATATTTTGATTTTGCTTTCAATCAGCAGATGACAGACGGAATTTGGGGTGACACTCTGGATAAAGGAGCTATGTGATTTCCAGACAGATAACACAAACAGGTCCTTCTCTTGCTGTGTGAACTTCCTCACAATTTCCCCCTGGTCATATGCTCATGGTCATGGAGAAACAACCCCCATTGTTTTTTCTTTTCTTTCGATAAGGCATAATGGAAATCTTTTGACCATGCCTCCCCAGTATCTACTATCTCAAAAGTGAATGGCTATGGACCTTTTGGGCCGAGCTTCAACAATAACATATAGGCTTTCTCTTGGTAAGATACTACCAAGAATTTTGTAAAACGAATAATCCTTGTACCACAGATTCACGGTCAATTTTGCCATAGTCATCTGACACACACATTGACTTGTCAGATATGTAACACTGTTCCCATTCTTTGGATCATTTAATGGATTCTCTTCTTCTCAATGATTAGTATGGTGGGTGGAGGGGAATTTTTGTCTCAACTCTCAACCGGTATCAGCCAAAACACTTCTATTTATGAGATTGAACTGCAGTGCAACGGCCCTTTAATTGAGCGAACCACCTTAGCATTTTTTGTTTCATTTATTTGTGCTCTAAAGTCATTGCATAGCTTTTCTATACTGCTGCTAGATTGTGGAGCGGCTTGGCAGGAGGGGACTGCCGACCTACGGCAACTGCATTCTTCTCATTACACCGTGAAACCACCGATCACCTTTTGACCGGTTTTGGAGGAATTGCTGCCCTGGAGAGGTCTACTAGCCTGCACTCCAACGCTAGGGTGTGAATTCGGTCCTTGGTGGATTGAGAAACATGAGGGGATTCAACGCCTTTGTCCTGTTGATAGCCTGGACAATTTGGATTTTTTTTTGATATGGTTTCCAGTGAAAAAGCCTAACCTGTTAAGCAGCTAGTGAGGACAGTCAAAGACTATAATGCGCTAGGTGGTGTGAGGCTGGCTATAGCGAGATGAGAAAGGCTGCTTGTTCGTGGTGGTTTAGCAGAAATTATTTAGCCTTCCCTAGCTAGCCATGCTTCCGTATGGTCTGTTTTTTTTCCCTCTTTCTTTTACCCTTTCTTCCTGTGGCTTGATTCAATCCAAATTCGGCAGTTTGTTGCTCGGTTTGGGGCAAAGTTGTAAGTGTTGTTTCCTATCCTAATATAATGTCATGCAGGCCTACTGCATGTTCTCTAAAAAAGAGAGATTAGATTTGCAGTGCAAACCTGTTTAATTCACCTACAGTATGTCTTTCGGCGACTCTTCGAATGGTCAAATTCCATCCAACTTCTACTCCTAGAAACGTTCCACGAGATTAGGATGATAATCGTGTGCATAAGCCTGGGGTCATCTATGTTGGTTAGTAAGCTGATCCAGTGAATTCTGATATCTGGACCATCTGATTTATTTTCCTCCTGTTCTGTTTCTTCCGAAGTAATTCTGAAAAAATGATCTGCGGTAGTTTCCTATGGTTATTCTGACGGGACCAAATTCATGCTTGATACACAAAGATATTATCCAACCTATGCATGTTTGAATTTTAATGTCCAGTACCTTTCCATTTGTGAAGTTTAGGCACCTTGTCCGATATGTTATGGTTTGATGAATTACTGCATAGTCATTTTGGAAGGGCAGTAATTATGTCATGGTTGCATATGTCGATATTAACCAGTACATACCATATGAACAGATGCTTTCCCTTAGGCCAACTACTCCCACCGGTTGGGTTTATAAGCCGGGCATGGGTTTTTAGGTCATCAATTTGACTATGAAAACATGTATTATATTCTATAAAAAATATATCTTTAGATTAGTTAGTTGTCAAATGTAATTTCTGACCATATAATTTGTGTGGTATATTATACATGTTTTATTAGTCAAATCGAAGACCTAAAAACCCGTGTCCGACTTGTAAACCCAACTGGAGGGAGTATTCTCAGTTTGTAGTTGATCTTGGCTACATTATAATTTTTGAATTGTGTTTACATTGTCTTGAACAAATAATAAATCTTTTATTAAAGCAAACGGGAGAAGAGTTATGGGAAAAATGCCCACTTGCTCGTTGTTAGAGGAGATATATATATTTGCGAGAGAATAGTTATGGGCAAAATGCCCACTTGTTCGTTGTTAAACAGGAGAAGAGTAGTACATTTGCGAGTGTGCATCATGGGCAAACTAGGGCAGTAGAACTCATGGGACTATACATGACACTCACATTTGCTTATATTTGATATACGATAGCAAAACGGGAGAAGAGTTATGGGCAAAATGCCCACTTGTTCGTGGTCCGTTGTTAAACAGGAGAAGGTAGTACATTGCGAGTGTGCCTCATGGGCAAACTAGGGTAGTAGAACGCATAGGCCTATACGCTACACTCTAACATTGCTTATATTTGATACACGATAGCAAACAACTAACTTTGTGTATGAAAAAAAATCTAAAGTTCTTTTCTGAGTTTTATCCTTAAAGTTTTGCAATGTTCCTCTGCTTAGTGGTTCACCTAATAAAAACAACGTGGCAGTGTATGCAAGTGACATGGCGGAATTCAGAATCATGGAGCCTTTAACATTCATATGAACATTTGGTACCTCATATATCTTCACTCATGCCACACTAATTCACTAGTAGTGCATACTGCACATAGTTCACTCAAGTTTCTAATCCACTCAGGTTGTCGTAATCTTCCCTGCTTGATATTTTGTTTCTCAAGGAAACACAAAAGTTATGTGTCTCGATGCATTGATGGAAGAAGAGAGTTTATATATATTCCTTGGACTAGGCCACAACACACGCACGCTGCTGCAGTACAAGGTGGATTAACCTCTGTAAAGATGAAGAATAATGCTACCACACCCGCAGAAACACAGTTCCTGCCCTCAGATTTTATCTTGTTTATTAAGTCTCCCAAGTCTTGTTTGCACCATCGAAGATCATACCTAGGATATGACCTCATGCCAGCTTCGGCTAGCAAACAAGCATTCCACAAGCAGGTCCCATAGTATGCAGGCCGCTGCATGTGGCAGGCCCTTTGATTTATTTACTCTCTTGTTGAATTGCATCTCTAAGCCTTCATTAAAACATTTGTTTGGAACACTGTGTATGTCTATTTTGTGTTCCCTAAAGAAAACAAGTATTGAGTACATGAATGCTGTTTATGCTATTGTGAATTTGGTTTCCGTCATTTGATTTATCAAAATTCAGTTAACTTCTTTATTGGGATTATGTCTTTATTATGTTGGCTTTTGATATATGTATGTAGTACGATTGCAGGCTACTTGATTGAGTTCGGTATTTCATATGGCACATGAGTCTTGTAGCCTAGTGCATGGCAGAAATAAAATTTTGGGTGTGCACATGGAAATACTATGGACTAATTTTCCAGGGTGAATCACTAATGCCAAATTTATCCCAAAAGTTGGGAATTGAGTTAGTAATTTAATTTTGCAGGCAGAAACCCTTTAATAGTTTATGTTCAGAATTTGTGTCATCATCTATGTGCACTTCAGTGTTTCTTTGCCTCTGCTTTAGACAGAAGAAATTTCCATGAGGTTTCAAATACTGGTAATCTTTTACCATGCAACTACCCCCTCTGTAAACTAATATAAGAGCGTTCAGATCACTACTTTAGTGATCTAAACGCTCTTATATTAGTTTACAGAGGGAGTACTTTTTATAGGTGTTGTTTAAAAAAAAGCATTCATTGGTTTATTAAAATTATTTTTGTTTATTCTCCTGTTTGTTTAGAATTTCTCATTGACTTGAAAGCTGAATAACATGCATGCTTATTGTTGCATAAGCATTACGAGCAAGCGGGCTGCTTTTTTAATACATGACTCGAAACATGATTTTATCCTTTAGCAAATGAAATGTTTGCAGTAAATGAAGTATTTGCATCCAGATACTTTAGGCAGACAAATATTGAAATAATTTACTCTGATATTTGGCTAACATGGTGAACAAAGAAAGAAGTGACTTACTATATCTTAATGATGAATTTTTGTAGTATCTTGTTTGGTTATACTTATCAGAACGTTTATTTATGGGGGGGAATAACTAATAAGAGGAGTTCAGATTTTGTTGCTCAGGATGACTTGTTTTTTCCTTGTCGTGAAGGCCATGAATATCATTGTAAGGTTGTGTTTCTGATGAATGTTAATCATGATGTTAGAACACTCGGTGCTGCATGTTTTGTTCCCTACAGTGATATGAAATCACATGTTCGTTGGTTGCAATGAAAACTGGAATCCATCTATGCAATTAATAAATCCTGATGTGCCTTCATGATTTTCTCATATGGTATGTTCTCTAAGAAAAGGAAAATTGTCATGCTCTTCATGATTTTATCTAGAACATAACTCGAGATTTCCAGAGTTCCATTCTTTTGTCAGATTTTTAAAATTCTGCCATCAATTTTATCTGCAAGAGGTAGCATTACATGCACTCTTATTATATTCAGTATTTTTTATGACTTGTGATTCATAAAATATCCATAGTATGTTATCTAAAAAACAAGCAACAAGGTTTCACATATTGTAATTTCAATGTACTGGAGAACAATAGCTTGAAGTGAGCAGGTGAAGTATGATCTATCATCTGTTGAATTGGACAAATTTGGTGTCCCAAGGGATAAAACTTGGGGGGTAAAAGTTAGTAGCATCTGCACTGCCCAGCAGCAGCTCGAAGATGAATCTTTAGTCACATAGGTGATGCCTCTTCTCCTACCAAGAGTGCCTTGATAATTTTATCGGTCCATCCGCCCACCAGCATGAACATATGTCCACCTTCTTGGACTTCATGATACTGGATCCATGGAAGCTTCTTTGAAAGGTACCGCTGCAGCTCAACCAGCACCAACCTATCTTCATATCCTTGCCAGATGTGTACAGAACCCTCATTTGTAGGAAATGGATTTGTAATATTCATTGGATCGAACTCCCAATTCCCAAAAGCAACAAGTAAATCTCGATGGATTGATTCATAAATTCCTTGCTGCCTTGATTTATTCTAAAAAAGGAAGGCCAAATTAGCATCATCAACAAATCTGAACAAGGGGTGGTCTATGATTTACAACTCTGATTGATACCAAGTTTGATGTATTCTTTTGTTAGTGTATATTTCCTGAAAATTTACATTTATATTATATTATTATTGTTCTCTACGGTGGGCATAGCAAGGAAACAGCAACTCCCAGGATTTTAGTGTTCATCGCAGAAAGGAGTCTAGTGTTGCACTTGTATATCTGTATTTCAAGTGTTCCATAAGCAGAATTTCACGTGGTTGAAGTATTTGTGACATTTATAACCGAGGCATAATTGTGATTTGATTTACCTCAATGGTTCTCGGCATTGCCATCATTTTCTGAATCACCTCCATATCATGGTCGCTAAATATTTCAGGATGATGCATGGCTGCCGCAGAAGAAGGGAGCCATTTCTGGGTCATCCACAAGTATAAAAAGTAAGGTGCATTGTGTGCGATCCAGAGGGTCCTCTGCTCTGGTACAATGAGCTTCTTGAAAGCCTGCCTGGACACCTCTGGCGGGAAAGAAGGCCACCAGTAATTGATAACTGGTACAACTAGCGCGGCTCCTGCGAGCCTGCATCGATAGCAAATTGCAGCTTTTACAACTCTGAAGAGTTTCATATTTCATGAAGATACATATGGTTGGAGTTTCTTTCTTTGCCTGTGAGGTATATACTGGAGGCAACCCCAAACTGTGTATCCTCCCATGGAGACACCCAAGACATGGAACTTCTGTCCAAGCTCCAGCTGGTCGGCGAGCTCCTCTACATCCAAGGCTTCACTTTTGACACTCCGACCGGGGTTTGGGTCACTTTCCCCGTACCCTGCTCTATCAAATGCAAGTAGGTAAATTTCCAGTTCTTCCACGAGCTCCTGATAATGGCGAAAACAGAAATCAATCTTTAGGGGAAATATTGAGAGATAAACCAACGTGTCTCACTTGTATAAATTTTAATCTGATTATAATTGTGCTCTCTGCGTGTACCTTGGAAACAGGCGAGGGGAAGTCCTTGGTGCTATCAAATGCATGCACTGTGATGATCTTGTACTTGGCCTTGTCTCTCTGCACACCGTCTTCCCGGTATGCGAGGTACCTCCCATCCCTGAGCTTGATCCTGGGAGATGTCACCGGAGGTCCACCTACCGAGCCGCAACGTTTTGTATGTGGTGGCCGGAGAATGGCCTGGAAGGCCAAACCAAGCAGCACCACTGGAAGAACGACGAGCAATCTTGGAGCCATTCTTCCCAGATCCAGTGCTTTCGGTGTCAGCTGTGGAGGTTTATGCGTGGCGGGGGCAAAGCTGCAATGTGGGCTGCTCTTTTACTCCACTCCACCGGTAGTGTGGGCGCATCATTGCACGGACGGGACCCCCTGGCCCTGGCCGCTTTCTTTGTTTGCCTCCACTACTCTGGCTTGTTGCTGACTGTAAACAAATACTCCGTAAATTAATATAAGAACATTTAGATCATTAAAGAGTGATCTAAACGCTCTTATGTTAGTTTATGAAGGGAGTATGTTATGACCGGTTTAGCTTATAACCAGAGAAGGCCCACCGGGCAGTAGTTAGGGACTTGGCCCATAAGTTATCTTAGAGCATGGTTAATAGTATAGCCAGCTACTGGCTATAAGCCAGTGCCATGTCATCTAGAGTCCATCTTATAGTCAACATGTACAATAGTAGATCAAAAGAGTGTATTACTTTTTTATTATGTGGCTCACAATTCATTCTCACAAAGTGCCTAGGAGCACGTGCTAGAGCTGGCTCTTCATGAAGAGCCCGCTTACCTTCTCTCTCATCTTCTCTTTTCTCCAACTAAGCACAAATATACTAGTTTATTCTTTATAACCCGCTGACTCAGCTTTATTGCACTTGCTCTTAGGCTACTCGTATTGAGGTTATAAATGCTACTCCCTCCGTTCGGAATTACTTGTCTTGTCTCGGATATGAATGTATCTAGAACTAAAATACGTCTAGATACATCTATTTCTGCGACAATTTTGAACGGAGGGAGTAGATGTAAAACACTTTTGAGATCGAGCAATAATAATATTATTATCTCTATTGCCCGGCTGCTAGAGGAGTCGGAAACCCTAGCCGCCGCTGCCATCTTCCTCCAACGTGACGGCGCCCAGCCGCCGGCGCGCCTGCTCATCACCTCGCCCCGCTCCATCCTTCCCTACAACCTCCGGAGCAGGTTCGGTAGAATCCCTGGTTCTATCAATTTGGTATCCAGAGACTCGGTTGCGATCATGTCGTCATCATCATCCACACCCATGTTGCCCGGCGGCACCACAACCTTGATGACCATCGCTCCGCTGGCCACCACCCCGATGACCTCCATCGGGGCCCCCATGCTGTCGAACCAGGTCACTATCGCGGGCCCCCCACGCCGCCAACCCTAGTCACCTCCGCGCCGCCACCAGCCGCTGTCTTCACGCCGGAACAGATGACCAGCACGCTGCAGCATCTCGTGACGGTCGTCCAAGGTCTCCACATGAACCAGTACCACCAGTACATGGCAGGAGCGTACGGGCCCTCGCCGGCTGCACCGATCGCCACCTACGGCCACCCAGTGCCATGGCCGTTCCCGGGCGCACCCGCAGGCGGTGGGCCCCTGCTGTTGCCGTTCCAGGCAGGGAACCCCAGCGGGCCACCTGCAGCCGCCACCGTCCCTGGCACCCGCCGGCCCTGTCCAGCCCCCGCCGCTGCCGCTGCCGCTGCACCCACCGGCGCCGCCCCTGCCCAGCTCGGGGGCACCCTCGCCGGCCGGCCTTCCAATACATCAAGTCCGGTTTCCGCCATCCCAGTCGCCACTACCAGCTTGGGCGGCTGGGTCTTCGCCTTCGCCGGTCTACACCATGGCTCCGGAGCAGCCGACCCCGTTTCCGCAGTTCGTCGAGCCATCCGGCTCCGCAGGTCCCTACCCGGAGTACTCCGACCAGGCGCCACCCGCCTTGCTGCTCCGCACCTCCGAGCCATCTCGACATGGCGCTCCGACCCAGACACCGCCGTGGTTCGCCAAGATCGACTTCGCCACCTATGACGGCACGGAGGACCCCCTCAACTGGCTCAACCGGTGCGATCAGTTCTTTCGCGGGCAGCGCACCCTCGCATCGGAGCGGACCTGGCTCGCCTCGTACCATCTCCGTGGCACGGCACAGACCTGGTATTACGCCCTCGAGCAGGACGAGGGCGCCATGCCCCCGTGGGAGTGCTTCCGTGAGCTTTGCCTCCTTCGCTTTGGGCCTCCGGTGCGCGGGAGCCGACTGGCGGAGCTCGGCCGCCTTCCCTTCACCTCCATGGTGCAGGACTTCGCCGACCGTTTCCAGGCCCTGGCGTGCTATGCGTCAGGCGTGACGGCGCAACAGCGGGCCGACCTCTTTGCCGGTGGCCTTCCAGATCACATCCGCGTGGACGTGGAGCTTTGCGGCCCTCATGATCTCCAGACGGCCATGTATTACGCCCGTGCCTTCGAGGCTCGCGCCCAGGCCATGCTACCGGCCGCCCCGGCTCGAGGAGGCCGGCAGGCCACCCGCCCACCCCGGCGCCAGGCCGGCCACCTCCGGCCGCTTCCGCGACCACTACACAAGCCACAACACGACCCTTCCGTCGTCTCTCTTCGGCGGAGCAGATGGAGCGGCGGCGCCAGGGCCTCTACTTTAATTGCGATGAGCCCTATATGCCGAGCCATGTCTGCCCGCGCCTCTTCTACTTGGAGACGGTCGACTACATCGAGGAGGACGTCTCGCCCGACGGGGCCGACGCGCTGCCGCCCCCAGCGGCTGCTGAGACCGCACCCGCCCCCCCGGCGACGGCCCTCGTGGTCTCTCTCCACGCGCTCGCGGGCATCTGTGACGAGCGGACCATGCTATTGCCGGCGATGCTTCACGGCGAGCGCTTGGTGGCTTTGGTGGATGATACGTCTCCGTCGTATCTACTTTTCCAAACACTTTTACCCTTGTTTTGGACTCTAACTTGCATGATTTGAATGGAACTAACCCGGACTGACACTTTTTCAGCAGAATTGCCATGGTGTTATTTATGTGCAGAAACAGAAGTTCTCGGATGACCTGAAACTTCATGGAACATCTTTTCGGAAATAATAAAAAAATCCTTGCAAAAGATGAAGACCAGGGGGCCCACACCCTAGCCACGAGGGCGGGGGGCGCGCCCCCCTACCTCGTGGGCCCCATGGAGCTCCTCCGACCTCGACTCCAACTCTATATATTTGCTTTCGGGGAGAAAAAAAATCAGAGAGAAGGATTCATTGCGTTTTACGATACGGAGCCGCCGCCAAGCCCTAAAACCTCTTAGGAGGGCTGATCTGGAGTCCGTTCGGGGCTCCGGAGAGGGGAATCTGTCGCCATCGTCATCATCAACCTTCCTCCATCACCAATTTCATGATGCTCACCACCGCGCGTGAGTAATTCCATCGTAGGCTTGCTGGACGGTGATGGGTTGGATGAGATTTATCATGTAATCGAGTTAGTTTTGTTAGGGTTTGATCCCTAGTATCCACTATGTTCTGAGATTGATGTTGCTATGACTTTGCTATGCTTAATGCTTGTCACTAGGGCCCGAGTGCCATGATTTCAGATCTAAACCTATTATGTTTTCATCAATATATGAGAGTTCTTGATCCTATCTTGCAAATTTATAGTCACCTATTATGTGTTATGATCCGGTAACCCCGAAGTGACAATAATCGGGATACTTACCCGTGATGACCGTAGTTTGAGGAGTTCATGTATTCACTATGTGTTAATGCTTTGGCCCGGTACTCTATTAAAAGGAGGCCTTAATATCCCTTAGTTTCCGCTAGGACCCCGCTGCCACGGGAGGGTAGGACAAAATATGTCATGCAAGTTCTTTTCCATAAGCACGTATGACTATATTCGGAATACATGCCTACATTACATTGATGAATTGGAGCTAGTTCTGTGTCACCCTAGGTTATGACTGTTACATGATGAACCACATCCGGCATAATTCTTTATCACCGATCCATTGCCTACGAGCTTTCCATATATTGGTCTTCGCTTATTTACTTTTTCGTTGCTATTGCTATCATCACTACAAAATACCAAAAACATTAATTTTGCTACCATTACCCTTTGCTATCGTTACCACTACTATCATATTACTTTGCTACTAAACACTTTGCTGCAGATATTAAGTTTCCAGGTGTGGTTGAATTGACAACTCAGCTGCTAATACTTGAGAATATTCTTTGGCTCCCCTTGTGTCAAATCAATAAATTTGGGTTGAATACTCTACCCTCGAAAACTGTTGTGATCCCCTATACTTGTGGGTTATCAAGACTATTTTCTGGCGCCGTTGCCGGGGAGCATAGCTCTATTCTTTGAGTCACTTGGGATTTATATCTTTTTATCGTTATGAAGAACTTGAGAGATCCAAAAACCAAGATTTATCCCTCAACTACGAGGGGAGGTAAGGAACTGCCATCTAGCTCTGCACTTGATTCACCTTCTGTTTTGAGTAAGATTGCGACACCTAAACCTGCTTCTGCTATTCGTTCTGATATGTCGCATGTTATTGATGATGCCACTTCTGCTATGCATGATACTTATGATGAAACTACTTCTATGATTGATACTACTATGCCACTTGGTGAATTTCTTGATGAACAACTTGCTAGGGTTAGAGAGAATGAAAATATTGAATATGATAATATTGATGAAAGTGATGATGAAGACTCTCCCTCTAATGAATATGAATCACCTGTTATTCCTGAGGGTTATGTTTTTGAAAAAGAAGCTGCTCTAGCTATTTTAGCTTGCAAAGATAGGTACGAGCTCAAGGGGTTATTAGCTAAACGGAAGCAGTAGTCTCTTAATGCTAGAATGAAACCTGACCCTGCTTTTGCTACTTCACCTATCTGTGTAACTGATAAGGATTATGAATTCTCTGTTGATCCTGATATAGTTACTTTGGTTGAATCTGATTCTTTTCATGGCTATGAATCTGAAACTGTTGTGGCACATCTTACTAAATTAAATGATATAGCCACCCTGTTCACTAATGATGAGAGAACTCGTTACTTTTATATCCTTAAAATATTTCCATTCTCATTAAAGGGTGATGCTAAGATATGGTTTAATTCTCTTGATCCTGGTTGTGTGCGTAGTCCCGAGGATATGATTTATTACTTCTCTGCTAAATATTTCCCTGCTCATAAGAAACAAGCTGCTTTAAGGGATATATATAATTTTGTGCA